AAGGGCCCCCCCAACCCTTTCCTGGGACTCCCCCCAGGCCCTCTGTGCCTCATCATCCCCCCCGCCCCCCGTTACCAGAATTGCCTTCGTCCCCGCGGGGTCCGGGGGGGCCCCAATTTGGGGGGGGAGGGGGGGGGCGTGGGGACGGGGGGGTTTTGTAATGTGGTTCTGTGCACTATTAAAGAGAGATGCAGCTGGAAACGCTTGTTCGGGCGGGGGGGGGCAGCACCCCAAAAATGGGACCGGGACCCACAACCCCTCACAGCGTGGTCAGAGAGGGATAATCGTGGATTTGGGAGAAAATAACCTCAAATGGGTTGGGGGAAGAGATAACAGTAGTGAATTTTCGGGGAAATGACCTAAAATGAAGGGGAGTAATAGTGAGTTTGTAGGAAACCAACTCACGGGAGGGAAGGACGGCGTGGATAATAGTGATTTTTTTTAAGGGAAAAAGACACGAAAAGGGATGGAGGAGTGGAAATGATAGTGGAGTTTTGGGGGAAACGACTCAAAATGGAGGGGAGGTGAAAAACACTCAAATCGAAGAGAATAATAGGGAATTTATGGGAAAATGACCGAAATTAGGGAGCCTTCGGAAATTTTTCCCTCTGTCCCTGAGGGGGTCTGGGGGGGAACGCCGCTGAGGGGACGAAAAGGGCGGGAATATCCAGGGGTGCGGAGCCCCCCAGAGCCCCGTCCGTCACCGGGGGAGGAGGCGGGACGTGCCCGTGGTGGAAAATGAGGATTTTCCGTGAAACCTCCCCAAACCGGGGGCGTTTCCCGCCGTGTCCCCTCGGCAAGGGCGGGAGGCGGCGCCGCGCCGCGCGGGCCGCCAGGGGGCGCTGCTCTCCGAGCGCAGCCAATCAGCGGCTGCGCCGCGGCGGGGGCGGGGCCCCGCGGGAGCGGGAAGATGGCGGCGGGCGGCGGCGGCGGCGGCACCGGGCCGGGCGCGGGGCCCGGCGGAGGCCCCGGGGCCCGCAGGGGCAGCGCGGGCCGGGACGCGGAGGCCGAGGTTTGGTGCCGGCGGGTGCGGGAGCTGGTGAGCGCGGATCCCGCCAACCGGCTCTGCTTCGAATGCGGCCAGCGCGGCGTCACCTACGTGGACATCAGCGTGGGCAGCCTCGTGTGCACCGGCTGCTCGGGGGCGCTGTGAGCGGGGCGGGGCCGTGGGCGTGAGGGCGGGGCCGCAGGGAGGGGGCGTGGTCAAGGATGGAGTGGGCGGGGCCACGCGGGTCGCGCTGTCATTGATTTGCTGCGTCCGATGAGGGCGTGGCCCAGCGGGAGGGGGCGTGGCCTCGGCACGTGGCTTCGCACGCTTGGGTTGTTGGACGCCTCTTTTTTGAGAGAAAAATCTCCATTTTGGGTGTTTACGGGCGCAGGGGGGGCGCTGACACCCCGAATCCCTACCCAGGCGGGGACTGAACCCCCCTCACCGTGTCAAGTCCATCTCCATGACAACATTCACCGAGGCCGAGGTGCTGTTCCTGCAGGCGCACGGGAATGAGGTAAGGGAGGGGCTGCGGAGGCTCTGCCCTCTCCGTCCCACCCTGCCCACATCCCCATGTCCCCTCCCCGACCCCCCCACTCCAGGCCTGCAGGAGGGTCTGGCTCGGCACCTTCGACCCCCGGACTTCGCTGCTCCCCGACTCCCGCGACCCCCAGAAGGTGAAGGAGTTCCTGCAGGAGAAGTACGAGAAGAAACGATGGTAGGAGAGGAGCTGGGGGCGCGCTGACGGTGGGCAGCGCAGCCTGAGGACCACTCAGTCAATATTTTGCCCTCCCCATGGCAGGTACGTGGCACCAGAACAAGTGAAACCCCCCCAAAGTACCACAGCGGACCCCGGGCCCCCCCAGGCCCTCCATGGGGACACAGGGACACTGCCACAGGTGAGACTGGGCCATTTCTGGGGGTGCCCGGGGGCAACGCCAGCCCCTGACCTTGTGGTGCTCCCCCAGCCCCGCCCAGTCGCCCACCGCCCTCCCCAGCCGGCCCGAAAGGCCAGCACCGACCTCCTGGCTGACATCGGGGGGGACCCCTTCGCCAGCCCTGCCCCAGCTCCTGCCTTCGCTGCTTTCCCTGGTGAGCTGGGGGCGCTCCGGGAGGGCTGGGAGGGTCGTGGTCATGAAGCACGGGGGTCTCATGAGGGCCTGGTGACCCCAAGAGTGACCCCAGCCCCCTCCCCAGGCCCAGCCCCACCCCGCTCTGCCTTCCCCAGTTTCAATGCCTTTGGAACCAGCCTCGGAGCACCAACGTTTGGGGGAGCTGTGCCTCCCTTCCACATCCCACCTGCCACCACAGGTACCCTGAGAACCCCCCAGGACTCTTGGGGTGCTCCTGTCACCCTGTGGGGGACCAGGAAGGGGTTTGGTGCACCCCCCCCGTACCTTTGGGATAACTGGGATTAATGGGCAAGGGGGAGTCGGGGTCTCCCCCTTCCTTGTGGGGTTCTGGGGAGGGGGCCTGGGGTCTCACCACCGCTCCGTGGCAGCTGTGGGGCCACTGGGGAAGGATTTGGTGGCAACCAGAGAGGCCTGGAATTTTTGGGGAGTGGGGAGAGAGTCCCCCTATCTCATTCTGGGGGCTGGGGAAGGAGTTTTGGGTCCCCTCGCACCCAGGATTAATACGACCCCCCCACACTTGGTCGAGTGTTACGGGGAGGTTTTGGGTGCTCTGTTACTCTGAGGGGTCCCGGGAGTTTTTGGGAGCCCCCCATGGTTATTCTCTCGCATCTGCAGGAAGTGTAGGTGCACAGGGCGTGGCCACCCCTGTCCCGCCCACAGGGGAAGGAGCTTCTGGCAGGTATTGCCCCCCCCCCCCGCCTTTCCTCCCCCACCTTGCCGGCAGTGCAGGACCCCACCCTCCCCCCTGACAGCTCCCCCTCCCCTCTGCAGCCTCTTCGGGACCCTCCGGGACCCCCCAGCGCTGCCCCATGGGGGTAAGTCAGGGCTCACCCCCCCACACTTTAGACCCCTAAAAGTGAGCGTGGGCCCAGAGGTGACACCTGTGTCCCCCACAGGCTACACCAACCCCTTCACGGCCCCCGTGGCCCCCAGACCCTCCACCAACCCCTTCCAGAGCAACGGCCCTGGTGAGTGACGCCCCTGACCCCCAATTCCCTGAGCAGGTGGGATCTGGGGGGGTCCCAATTCTCTGTCCCCTCTTTCAGGTGCTGCTTTCACCTCGCCCCCTGTTCCTGGAGGGTTCCCCAGCCCCTTCCAGGCTGATGGTAAGAGCTAAGGGTGTTAAATATTGGGGCAGCCTCTACCCCAGCTCCCAGTGACCCCCCTCCCCATTTCATCCCCCAGGGCTGCCTTTCGGCGGGTTCAACGTTGCCAAAGCTTCCACCAACCCCTTCGTGGTGAGGAGGGCACCGGGGCAGAGTGGGGATGGGGGTTCCTGAACCCCCTTTCTCTGCTGTTGACCCCCCACTTTGTGCCCCCCACAGACGGTCCCGACCCCGGCGGCGCCGTTCGGTACCAGGCACCCGACCACCAACCCCTTCCTCTGACCGTGGCTGCTGGTGAGGGGCTCGGGGCAGCCCTCAGAGCCCTCACAGCCCCCCGCGGCTGCTTCTGGGGGCCCTGGCAGCGCGCCAACCCTTCCCCCTCCGCCGGGACCACGTTCTATTTTTGTTCCGAGAGATTTATCGTGATATCTAATATATATTCGATAGAAACGGCTTCGATCTCGGTATCTCCCTCGAGCTTCCCTCGCCGAAATCTTCACCCTCCGGTTGCCCGGGCCCCGGGCGCGGCCCTAACTAAAGATGGCGGCCTTGGGGAGAGGCCTCCCCGCACTGCCCTGCCCTTAATAAAGATGGCGGCCCATAGACCATCTACCTGCCCTCAGCCAAGATGGCGGCCGGGGCCTCACCGCTGAGGGCATGGCCATGGCGGCCTGCCCTCAACAAAGATGGCGCCAAAGCCACACTGGGGGCAGGTTGAGGGGCAAGAGATGTCAAGGGGGGTACCGGGGGGGCTGAAGGGGCAATTAACGGGGGTACCGGTGGGGGGAGGACACCCCCGGACCCCCCCGCGGGGCTCGGGCCGGGCTCGTCTCCTCCAGCACCTGCTGGGGAAGGGGGCAGTTAGTGGGGGCTGCTTTAGGGAGGGGGTTCATGGGGCAGCACAGCGCAGCTGGAGGGGGGGGGGGCATCCCCTTTTGGGCACAGAAAGGGAGAAAACGGACAAAAAGCTGAGCAGTGGCAGCAGGAGATGGGCAGGACTGAAACACACACACACGCTCCCCCCCCCCCAGGTTTTGGTACCAGCCGGTGACCCCTGAGTCAGGGAGGGACAGGGATGTACCAAGTATGAGTTTCAGGGGAATATCTATACTTAGAAACAAACTAAATATTATAATAATTGGAATAACAGCGATATAATAGTTAAATATAATATCTTTAATAATAATTAATTACAATAAATTTTGGTCATCCGTATTTTTACATTCATCATAATTAAGTTACAATTAACCATAATTATTAGCTTATTATGCTCACAGTCCTGTATAACAACTCATTATAATAGTGACAACTCAAAATAATAATAATAATAGAACTCATAATAATAACTCATTATAATTAATCATAATATGAATAATTAAGGAGGGGCAAACGGGGTTCAGCCCCTCCCCCTTCCCTGCCTCAGTTTCCCCAGCATTAAGGCACAAGAAAAGAGGGGGGGAAGGAAAGGTGCAGAGGTGTGGGACCCCCCCCCCGGGAGGGTTTGGGGGTTCCCCCAGGAACTGGGGGGGGGTTCCCCCGGGAGGGTTTGGGGGTTCCCCCAGGAACTGGGGGGGGTTCCCCCGGGGTTTGGGGGTTCCCCCAGGAACTGGGGGGGGGTCTCCCCCCGGGGTTTGGGGGTCCCTCAGCAGCCAAAGAGCACGCGGTGGGCGGCCACGAGCAGCGCCATGAGGAGGCCATAGAAGAGGGCGAAGAGCAGCCCGGGGGGGGTGCGCCGGGGGTGCGGGGGCTTCACCTGGGGGAGGGGGGGACCCCGCGTCAGCTGAGGGAGGGCGCGGGACCCCCCGACCCCCCCCCCAATAATCAACCTCCCCCCAAAATCGGTACCTCGGGGACCCCTGAGCGGCGGCAGGGGAGCGGCTGCGGCGTCCGGCGGGGGCCTGGGGGGCTCTGGGGGGGGAGAAAGGCGGGGCACGGAGGGTTGGAGGGGTTTTTTTTTTTTTGGGGGGGGGGTTAGGCGGGGTTAAAAAAGCGGTTTTGGGGTAATGGAAAGGGTCAGAGGGATTGGAGGGCTTTAAAAAGTGTTCAGGGGTTGCAGCCGGGCCTGGGGAGGGCAGAGGGGTCCCGGAGGAGTTCCGAAGGGGATTTTCGTGCAGGATGGGGAGTGGTGGGAGGTTTGGGGAGCTCAGGGGGCTGCTCCAGGGGTTCAGGGGCAAGTTTTGGGGTCGGGGGATGTTTTGGTGAGTGCGGGGAGGTGTCGGGGGGGCTGTTTTGGGGCAGATATGGGGGAACTGTGGTTCAGGCGAGTGTTTTGGGGCAGATACAGGGTGATGTTTTAGGGTTCGGGAGGGTGTTTTGAGGTTCGGGAGGGTGTTTTGGGGCTCAGGGAGGTATTTTGGGGTCCAGGGGGTGTCTGTTTTGGGGGTCCCACTCACAGCCCAGGGGCGCAGCCGGGCGGCCACACGGCCCAGCAGCTCCGAGTCCCCCAACTCGTCCGGGAGCCGCAGCTGCAGCAGCGCCTCAAGGCTCTGTGAGGGTCAGGGGGCACAGCAGGGACCCCCCAAAACATGTGAGGGACAAACAGGCGCCAAGCCCACCCCCCAAATAAACAGGGGAGGGGAGGGGGGGGTCGTTACCTGACGCATCTCAGCGATCAGCTCCCGCTGCTCGGGGTCCGGGGGGGCTGTGGGGAGATTTGGGGGGGTCAAGGACTGGGGGGCACCTGGGGAGGGGACAAGGGGGGGCTGGGGGGAGGGTCCTACCTGGTTTGGTGGCACTGCGGGAAGAGGAGGAGGAGGAGGAGGATGGGTTGAGGCAGGCGCTGGGTTTTGGGAGGGTGGAGGGGGGGCCAGGGGCTCCGTCGGGGTCCTGGGGGAGGCAGGGATAATTTAAGACTCCCGTTAATTAGGGCTGAGCCTTGGGGGAAGGGGTAATTAAGACCCGTGTTAATTAGGACTGAGCCCAACGAGGTCGCCAGGGTCCTCACCGGCATCGGCGTCGTCTGGGGGGGTCTCTGGGGGAGGGTCCTGTGGGGGGGTGAGAGCAGCCAGTGCCCAGCCCTTGTCCCCTGTCCCTGATCCCATTCCCAATCCCCAAATCCGCCCCCAACCCGTCCCAGTCTGCCCCCTCAATCCCCAATTTCCAACCCCAAATCCATCCCCCAGTCCCCAACCCCAAACCCCCAGTACCTGTCCCGACTCCTCTCCCTCTCTCTCTCCATCCACAGCTCCAGGTTCTTGGGGCGCCGCCAGGAATTGGGGACCACCCTGCAGGGAGAGTGGGGGGGCAGTCAGAACCCCCAAAACTCCTCCCCGAACCCCCAGACCTCCCTGAGCCCCTCACCTGGTACCCTCAGGGGTGTCACCCCTCGGGGTCCGGCTCTGCTGCTCCTGGCGGACAAAGCGGGGGACCCAGGATTTGGGGGGGGAAGCCCCAAAACTCGAGGGTGGGATGGGAGAGGATTGAGGGTCACATCACCTCAGGTGAGGGCTCCTTCTCCAGCTGCTCCAGGTCACTGTCACCAGCTGTGGGGACAAGGGCGGTGACAGGGGGTCCCCAGGAGGTGACAGGAGGTCCTGGGGGGGTTCTGGGGGTCCCCACTCCCCTCACCTGCCCCACTGCGTGTCTCCCTGTGCTGCCGAGACGGCTCCGACGACTCATCCGTGGACTGAAACGGTGCCAAAGGGGGTGCAAGGTGGAGGAGTAGGTTGGGGGACACCCCAAATTTCCCCAAAACGCCCCCAAATCCCACCTCGTTCCCTGACCAGCGCTTGCTGCCGCTGTCGACGCTGTGGAAGCCGGAGTCCAGCCCCCCCCGCTGCCGGAGGGGACACGGCTCGTCCGGGGGGCTGCGGGCGAAAAAACAGCCATGGGAGACCCCAAAACACACCCGGAGGGGACGGCAGGGTCCCCCTCTTCGAGCCCCCCCCCTTTACCACGTTGGGGGAGGATGGACGGCAGCCTCGGCTTCCAGGTACTTGAAGACGTGGACTTTGCCCTTCAGGCAGACCTGGGGGTGCACAGAGGGGTCAGGTGGAGCTTTGGGGGGTCGGGGGGGGATCCCCCGGGCTCCCCCTCACCTGGGCGGGGGGGTACTGGAGGGGGTTGTTGTCCGCCAGCAGGATTTGGAGGTGCCGGAGCCGCCGGAAGCAGCGAGGAATGGCGACCACCCGGTTACAGGAGAAATCCAGCCGGACCAGGGGCAATTCCGAGAGCTCTGGCGGGAGGGACAGGGACACACGGGATCGACGGGACCCTCCCAAAGCGGCAGGACCCCCCCCCAAATCCCTCACCCACCCTCGGGCAGAGCCGTCAGCTGGTTCCTCCGCACGCTGAGGTCCCGCAGCGCCCGCAGCTGCCCCAGCCCCGGCGGCAGCGCCCGCAGCCGGTTACAGCCGACATCCTGCGGGGCGAAAAGGGGGCTCAAGGAGGGGTCCCAGCGAGACCCCGCGGGGGTCGGCCCCGGCCCCCCGGCGCTCACCAGCTGCCGCAGCGTGCGCAGGGCGCCGAGGTTCGGGGGCAGCTGGGCCAGGCGGTTGTTGCTGGCGTTGAGGACGCGCAGGGGCAGGAGGCAGAGGCAGGCGGGCAGAGAGCTCAGCTGGTTGCGGCTGCGGGGGACACGGCGGGGTCACGGGGCGCTGCTGGACCCCTCCGCACCGCCCCGTCGGGGCTGGGCTGTACCTGAGGTCCAGGTGCGCCAGGGCCTGGAGGTTGGCGATGGCGGGCGGGACGCTGCGCAGGCAGTTGTGGTACAGGCTGAGCCCCTCCAGCGAGACCAGGCGGCAAGCGGCCTCCGGCACCTCCCCGAAACGGTTCCGGGACAGGTCTGGATGGACGAGGGCGACACGGGGAACATGCGGGACAGGGAGGGGGACCCACAGGGACGGGGCATCCTCAGAGGGGGGACCGAGAGGGAAAGGAAAGGGACCCTCAGGGAGGGGGACTAATGGGGACAAAGGACGCCCAGGGATAAGGGCAGTCCGAGGACAGGGGTGCCGTTGGACCCCGACCGCCCCGTCCGTGCACCCAGAGCCGCCCAGCTGCGACGGGGAGGCTGAAGCCGCCGGACCGCCCGGACCAGGCGCTCCGGCTCGTCCCGTCCTGGCGCCTCCGGCACCTCCCGCGGGCCTCGGGCTCCGGGAGGCGCCGAGGGAGGCGAGGAACCCGCAGCTTCCCCGGGGAAGGGGAAACACCCGGAGTGACCCCGGGCTGTGGGGAAGGGTCGGGGGTCCTGCCCCGGGGTCACGGCCTCACCGGCCTCTGTGGTGTCGCTGAGGTCCCAGCGCCGCGCCGCTGCCGCGGGGAAGGCGCGCAGCCGCCGGCCGGCCAGACTGAGGGTGCCGGAGGCCTCCGCTTCTTCCAGGGCGCGCTCGGTGCCAGCTCCTCCGGGTAGGCGGCCCAGCCGCGGCGGCGGCTCAGCCGTGACAGCCTCCGCCACCCCCGCGGCCATGGCGGCCCCGGAGCTCCGCTCGCCGCGGCCGCCGCTGCCCGACTGAGCCCCGGACGCTTCCGGACCCCGCCACGGGGGCGGGGCCAGAGCAGCAGCCAATCAGAACAAGGGGCGCGCGGGATGGCGGTGAATCGGACAGGGTGAGTGGGGGGCGTTGCCCGGAGAAATGCGGAAGTTTGCTCTTAGATTGATGGGTAAATTGACCAATCGTCATCAAGTCTTGGGAAGGTGTGGTGCCCCACTTCAGCCAATCACAGCTGAAGCGCAATCTCCACCTATCGCGAACGAGAGGGCCGAGCTCGTTGCCTGGCAACGGCCACGAAAATTTTGGTGGGATCTGGCAATCCAAATCGAGGAGGCGGGAGCAGGGCCCGGGACTGACGTGTAAACAACCAATGGTGTTTGACGCAGCGGCCGGATCGTAAAAACTCTGGGAGCGGACGGGGAGTGGCGGATCCACCAATCAGGAGTTAACAGCAATGATTGACAAGCAGGCAAGGCGCAAAGGAGCCAATCAGAGGCGGAGCCGAGGTAAGCGACGCCCCTTCGATTGTCGGGGCCACGCCCCAGTCCTGGCCCCGCCCCCTCTTCAACCCCGCTCTCTGCCCCTCTTAAAGGAGCCGCACCATTTAAACGGGGGGTCCCATTTTGGGGGGCCCAGTCTGTGCGCCCCCCTTGAGCGCGGAGCAGGGGCGGGGGTCCCCCAGCACCTTCACTCACACGCTCCATCTCTGCACCCTTTATTTGCATATGTGCGGGGGGCGTCCCCCCAGCGCGGGGGTGGCCGGGGGAGCTCCGGGGGGGGTCTCAGGGGGTCCCCCGACACGGCTTCTTGCTGAGGTTCCCCAAAATCTGCTGCTGCTGCGGGCGGTAGGGCACGACGAAGGCGTCGGGGGGCAGCAGGGCTCCCCCGTCCTCCCCCAGCCGCCCCATCAGGACGTAGCTTGAGCCTGGGAGAGATTTGGGGAGGGGGTGTCAGCACCTTGGGGGGGGCGCAGAGACCCCTCCAGGCACCCCCCCCCCACCCCGGGGGGCGCACCCACCTTTCTTGAGCGCGGGGCAGAGGCGGCAGGGCAGCTGCAGCCGCAGCGTGGCCCCCTTGGCGGGCTGGGGGACCACCAGGCCCCCCGACTTGTAGAGGCTGAGGACGGACACCACGGCCCAGCCCAGCTCCTGGGGCGGCCCCCGCGACACCGATTTCACCGTCCCCGTCAGCACTGCAGGCACAGGAATGGGGGGGTCAGGCTCCCCAAAACCTCCCTTTGGATTGAGGGGGCGCAATCCCCCTTTCCCCTCCTGTTTTTGGGGAATTCTCCACTGCCCGTGCCCCATTCCGGGGTGCCGCCCCTCATTTTTTTTTGGGGGGGGGGGGGGGGGTTTCTCACCGAAATCGCTGCTGCAGAAGTTGCTCTGGAGGGTCCCGGCGCGGCGGCAGCGCTGGGGGCAGGGGGTGCCCAAAGCTGGGGGGGCCGTGGGGGGCTCCACCTTGGGGCTGGGGGGGGGCTTCCCCTTCCCCCCGCCCCGGGGTTTTGTGGGGGGGGTCTCGGGGGCGCTGCCCCGGTCCCGCAGGGTGTAGGTGGCCGAAAAGCCGTCGGCGGTGACGCTCAGATCCGACACGAACTGGACCAGCAGCTCCGGGGAGCTGGAGACGATGGGGCTGGGGGGGGACATGGG